TCCCCCAAAGCCCCAGTAGATAGTTGTATGTCATAGCTGCACATCCTTCTAGTTGCTGTATGTGGGACGCGGTCTCAGCATGGCCGGAGAAGCAGCACGTCGGTGCGAGCCCGGGATCCGAACCCGGGTCGCCAGCACTGGAGCGCGCTCACTTAACCACCAAGCCACGGGGCCGGCCCAGGGGCTGCTATTCTTAACTCCATTTTACATATGAAGAAACTGAAGCACAAAGAGGTTATGTAACTTGTCCAAAGTGGGCAGCAGGGATGTAAAGCCAGACACTCTGGCTCCAGAGTTCAGGCTCATCACCACTGTGTACTCCAATGCCTTTTTAAAGAGGAAGGAGAGCAGACCTGGGGGGTGGGGGGGCATGAGGGGAGTGCTTATATTCATGTAAAATTATTAAGAAAAAGAGTGGTTTTTCAGTGTGTCAGTGAATAAACTATGTGTGTTAATAAAGCATAAGGTAGTGCCTTTATCTGTACTCTGCTAAAATACCATAGTATTTGGTGCCAGTCAAACTAAAATTAACACATTTTTATTTCTTTAATTTCTAATTAACAATTAGTTCTCATTTAATTAGTAATGTGCAGAAATGTTATCTCAAAACCTATTGTATTCTGCATATTCTACTTAACCTCTTAATATATTCTACTTTTAGTGAGGATGACACTGTTTTTATAGTAACATTACAGAAGAAATATTGCATTTAATAAGGCTAATGATTTCACACTTACATAACTCGTTCCAGCATCCTTAAACTATTTTACATGGAGAAAAATAAACTATACTCATCACTAAAATGATTACCTCTTTTGGTGAAGATTAGGATTGTAATCACGTATGAGTAAAAAGTAAAAACTATTGATATATTTCAAGAGATATTTTTGAATAGTTCAGTGCAAATTTTATTTTTTTAATAATTGAATTATATAATAAACACACCAGGACAGTCAAGAGATTTTGTTCTGGAAGGTGATTTACTCTCTAATCATATAATTTTGCCTTGCTATACACAGCTGGATTTCACTTATAAGCATTCCTCAATTAGGAAGGACTCAGCCTGTGAAAGAATTGAACAGGCAGTGGTTGTTATGGAAGCCTGAGAAGAGAACCTCAGTCTCCTATTGTGAGGAGCTTAAAGGAGGAGAAGGCATGTGAAGGCCAACATCCCTTTGGTCTCCATTTGGAATATCAGAGGAAAGCCGGGCAGAGGAAAATGCCCTCTCATTAAACTATGTAGAGAGAGTACCTCTTCTTTTTTGATGTAGATTCAGATTCTCCTAACATTTATTGAATGTCTGCCATGTGCCAAGCAGTGTGCCAAATGCTTTCACATTTGCCATTTTATTTAATCCTCACAACCATGTGGATAACCCGGTTTTGCAGAGGAGAGGACTGAAAGCTTATAATACTCAAGTTCACATAGCTAGCAAGTGGCAGAGAAAGACATGATCTTTTTCTTATATATTATGGGTATATATTCTTCCATAATACTTGTGAGTGTAAGTTATGTTATAGAGTTCTTAGACTCTTCCATGTGCTTAATTACCAGCAAGTCTAGCTTCATACTCTTTGAGCTTCCTGGCTCTGTAGATTATCTAAGAACCTTAGCAGTTAATTGTAGTTCAAAAGGGAAGTCCTTCAGATGCCCTCTTGCCAATGAAGAAAAGCCCTGGTGGCAGGCAGGTTGTCTGTTGGTGCTGCTGGTGCTGTGGGTATTGCTGCCGTTGCCGTAGCTTCTTGCTGATCCATGTCGCCACCACTGATCCCATTGCATCCATCATTTGACTGGCTCTACTGGTCCATGCTTCAGAAGAGTCTTTCTAGCTCTGATTCCAGCTCATCCTTGCAGGCTGGCCTGGTCTTTGAAAGAGGAGTTTATTATTCTCCAGAGAAACAAAACCAACAGGATGTGTGTGTAATATAGAGAGAAATATATGTATATATATATATGTATATAGAGAGATATATATGTATATATAGATGTGTGTGTGTGTATATGTGTATGTATACATATATATATATAGAGAGAGAGAGAGAGAGAGAGGGAGAGATTGATTTACTTTAAGGAACTGGCTCATGCAATTGTGAAGCCTTGTTGAGTCCAAAAGGCTCAAAACCCCAAATTACGGGACTCAGTTAAATTTAGATTCCAAGCCATCCTAATGTTCTTCCCATTTCCCTGCTCTAAGCCAATACCGTATATTTTAGGTTCTTGAAAGTAACTTAGTTCAAGGAGTATCAGGAGTTTCAGGATTAGGTTAAACTGCAAGTAACAAGACTCAAATTAACATTGTTTTGAACAAGCTAAAAGTTTATTTCTCATGTAAAATTCTGGAGGTAGGTAGTCCAGGGTTGGTATGGAACTCCATGTTGTCAGAGATTCAAACTCCTTCAGTCCTCCCTGGGGCATGGCTTTCATCCCTAGCATCATATCAAAGTTAAACATGACCAAGCCGTTGCCAGCCATCATGTCTTCATTCTAGGTAGCAGAAAGGAGGAAAACGAAGAGCAAACTCCCTTGCTTTGATCATATCCACTAATATTTCTTTGGACAGACTTGTTCATATGGCCCTTCCTACTTGCAAGGAAGACTGGAAAATAGTCTTTATTTTGGGCAGCTATATGCCTCAGTTAAAAAACAGGGATTCTAGGGGCTGGCCCCGTGGCTTAGCGGTTAAGTGCGCGCGTTCTGCTGCTGGTGGCCCAGGTTCGGATCTGGGTGCGCAGGGACGCACCGCTTCTCCGGCCATGCTGAGGCCGCGTCCCACATACAGCAACTAGAAGGATGTGCAACTATGACATACAACTATCTACTGGGGCTTTGGGGAGAAAAAATAAATAAATAAAATTATAAAAAACAAACAAACAGGGATTCTATTATTATAGAAAAGGGAAGGGATGGATATTGGCAGACAGTTGGCAGTCTCTGCTATGAAGAATTTATACAAGCATTAGAAGACATTAATATATGGACAGATCAGGACGTTGAAATGCAGTGATTTTGATGCATTTGATGCATTTTTAACAAAGCAACAAAAATTATCTTTTTAAAAAAATCATATTACTTCCCTGTCATCAGGAATCTCGCTTACTTTTTGTCTTTCCGTCTCCCACTTTTGCTTTCATCTGTTTTGGCTTTATTCTCAGTGGCAGAGGTTTACATTGCTCTTAGAGCTAGCAGTCCCAGGGAATGGAGCACTACTCTCTCTTCTTCACTGGACTCGGAGTTACCAATCGCTGTGAGTGGGGAATGGGGCAGTTTGATTGGCTAGCCTTGGACATGCTCACTTTCCTGCCTGGAAAGCAAGGCCACATAATTGACAGTCCCCATCAGAATCAGGAGAAAGGTATGTTCCAAAAAGGAAAGGAGAAAGGGCAGACAAAAAAAAAAGCATTGTGCTGCACTTTTTAAGAACATATTCCTCATGTTAAGTTTGCTTGTATATAAAAGATTTTCTATTAAACAGCAAAAATTAAAATACTTTGCAACAAATTATCATTTTTTTTCTTTCTTAAATAGGATTATACCAATCAAAGACTTAGATTGATAGGTCTGTCTTCCTTTAGCATCTTATCTCTGTTCATTTCTAGTGAGATTTCACATGTAGTAACTGTTGCATGGCCTGGAACATGATGAGAGGTAAATCATGGTTAATGCCCAGCCTCAATTTATAACCCAGGAGGATTCTGCATTTTAAATTGAATAACATTCTTCCTCATTCCTAGCTGAAAATGGCAAATACAGAAACAGAAGACTACAGAGCGGCAGATTCTCAGTCTTCTTTATCACCCTTGACTAAAGCCATGGAGGAGGCACAGCAGAGCAGCCCTGAAGGCACCTTCAGTGTGGATACCGTGGACCCAATTTACAAGTGTATTTCGAATGACTCACCAAGGTAGAAATATTATTTCAGCAGCTTAAACTGAAATCTGAAGGAGATAAAAGCCCTTATACCGAGTTATCTCTCGGTATGTTCAGTCTTTGGTGGAGATGATGTCAGTAATAACTTGGAGATGTGATGGGCTATGAAGGTTGTTGCCTGGGTTAGAGCCCTTCCATTTTTTCTGTTTTATGGGAAGAAAAAAGATAGATTATGCAATAAACATACATTATCCCTGGAGTCTGACTTGGACAGGTAGCAGAATGATAATAACAATAATGGCAGGGCAGATAATCTTTTCTATGTGCCAGTCACCATGCTAAGCACTTAACCCATGTTGTACCTATTTAGTTCTCAAAACACCCCTGGGAGTAATATAAGGCAGATAGTGTTTTAAACATTTCCACTATACCTCTGAAGAAACAAAGCCCTAGAGAGGTTAATTAACTTGACCAAGACCACACAGCTGGTAGGTAGAGAAGGTACGGTTTGAACCCAAATGGAGCTAACTCCACAACCAGAACTCTTAACTGCTGTACTCCCCTGTGCTTGTCCGAAATATAAAGCAGAGGAGACACAGGTATTTTTCCTGTGTTTTTTCTCCATTACAAAGTGAAAGAACAAAATAGTGTCTGTCAGGTATTGATAAACTATTGGCTGGCTAAATGTGATGCCATAGTCTTTATGTTAAATAGAAAATGTGGACTATAAGAACATTGAAGAAAATATTCTTAAATTAGGGATTATGTTAATCTCCTTATACAAATGCTAGGTCATATTTATATCTTAGAACAGTTTTTTTGTGTGTGTGTCACTGAGTTTAGATGAAAATGAAAGCTAGACTTTCAGCTAATCTTTGTTTTGTCTTATTTCTTTGAGCTATGAGTGCATCTTAGCAGCGTTTGAGATAATTTACACCGTGTACTAGCTAAATGGCTAGACAATTTTGTAGAAAATCATTACTTGATAGTTATATTGTAGAGATGTAAGTTACTCATGATAGTGTTATTCCCAGTAAGACAATGGACAAAAATTTCTGAATACGGTTTTTAACTATTCCTTTATATAAATGCCAATGGTAATATAATGTGTATTTGCACATTTTTTGTTGCTTTTAGAATTTATTTTTATCAATTTTCCTTTTCAAAATGGTTCTACATTCACTTTTTCCAACTATCTTTTGTGCATTTTTAGAGTCTTTATTTTTTTCTGTTCAAGCTAGCTGTAATTTCATTTATTCAATTTCTTTCTGCTCTTTTCTCATTTTCTTTCTTTGATTCTGAGTCTGAGTCTATTTAACTCTGGCTTCATTTGTCCTTTTTTTATATGTCAGTCTTTCTTTTCATGTGACACTTTCCTACCGCCTGTTTTTTTATAGTTGGTTTCAATGAGCTTCTTCTATTTCTTTGTCTGAATCCTGACTTCTTTTCTGTCACTATTGCCTGTTACCATCAACTTTGATTATGATATACCTAGAAAATGAAGTAACCCTCATCTTGGCAATCGAATGGAAAGTCAAAGACAATACCCAGAGGTCTTGTATTTTCATGAAAACGAAAATGATGAGTTTCAACCTGAAGGAGGTCAAGTTCATAAAGGCTAATGGCAATCTAAGATCTGTTGGTATTAATATGATTATCAGAGAGAGGCAATTTTCTCTGTGAGGAAAGACATTTTCCCACTGATTGAGGTTAAAACTTCTCTTGTCTCATTCTTGTTTTCCTTGCCCCCTTTCTTCCACCATTTTTGTGATCTTTTTATGAAAAATAATTATTAAAATGCAGTCAATTTGTTGTTCCTATACTTATATCATGGAGATTGTGCTTTTCTTTACTAATTAACACATTGTACATTTTACAAAATATGCCCACATATATTAAATCCCTTCATTGCAAACATACAGTGACCAGTCACTTTATTCTCATGTTATTATCTGATGCTATTAATTTACTCTTTATTATATTTACATTATCCACTCTCCTTTTCTCTCTCTCTGTGTTCTTCCAATGTTTTTCCTCTGTCACTCTACGCTACATTTGTGTGTAACAGCATGAAAACTGCTGTGCCAGGATCCTTCTTCCAACAAGAAAACTAATCACCGACAGTGTAAATGAGTTCAACAGATTGTGCCAAAGAAGATCTGATCCTCCAGTTGTGTGACTTACCACTTGGAGGTCAGATGACTGGAAAAGTCTAACCTCATTCCTGTGGCTACTTCCAGGAAAGCAGCACAATAGGAAACTTTTCCTACCCAGCTGTAGTCTAATGTATTCCCAGGTGACCTGGAGTAGGGCATCTGCCTTTCAGACATGGGTGGCAGAATCAATTATTTATTGTTAACAGGTATCTGAGGGCAGTTCTGCCATTTTATAGAAGGCATCTCCGAATGTCAAGTGGAAGATTTCCAAATTAAAATTGCATTTTAAAATTAAGAGAATGTTATAAACAATTAATATCTCTTTCTATCACACATATAAAATATTTTGTCTTAATGATTTTTAGCTGATGATCATCTAGGGATATAATTTCATGATTTTTTATAATAGAAAGAGTATTTTTTTTTATCCTGCTTGCAGCTAAGTGTATTACCAACTCTTTTGGTTCCCCAAGGGGGCAAATTATTTTTAGCACATTAAATGAGGACTTAAATCAGTTTTAAAAGTGAATTACCAACAATTTTTTGTTTTAGGTTATCTGTGTTACTTTTTCACAGACAAAGCTTCCATTTAAGGAGACTAACAGCACCTAATCTATTCACTCACTTTTTCATGTCATTTTAGTTATCTTGGATATTTTTAATTGGAATGAGTCTTAGACTCACCTTGAAATATAAACATTTGGTTATATCACCTTTTCTAGGGACAGTTTAAGTTTAGTAACTTCATCATTCCAAAGATGAGCTCTCTGTTCCCACCATGGAGTGGGTGGCAGAGGGAGTGAGGGAGAGACAGCAGTGGTGATGAAGCGGGGCCACACCTTCACTGTTTCCACCTCCAGTGCCCAACTATTTACTCTTTCCCTAGTTCATAATTTTTTTCACATTTTTCCTTCAAGCTGTTAAAAAAATCTCTACAGATCTAAACATTAACGTATTATTTCCTTTAAAAATGTTAAAGGAGGGGCCGGCCCGGTGGCACAAGCGGTTTAGTGTGCATGCTCTGCTGTGGTGGCCCGGGGTTCACCGGTTCGGATCCCGGGCGCGCACCGACGCACTGCTTGTCAGGCCATGCTGTGGTGGCGTCCCATATAAAGTGGAGGAAGATGGGCATGGATGTTAGCCCAGGGCCAGTCTTCCTCAGCAAAAAAAGAGGAGGTTTGGCATGGATGTTAGCACAGGGCTGATCTGCTCACACACACACACACAAAAAAATGTTAAAGGAAATCGTTTCTTTTTGAAAATTTAAATTTCCTCTGTAAAAGTTGTACATAATATCTATAACCTTTCCCAATTTTAGGTTTAAGATGTATCTTATTTTTATTCCTTTGTACTTTTGCACAATCAGAAGTATTCTTGTTTTCCTTTGGGTGGAGTGATTTATGCCCCCGATCCTATACCCTGAAGATGGGTCCTTCACAAATTTTAGAAATTGCTCTTCTTGTTTAGAATTTCCTTCTACAAAAGCAAACAAGTTCAATTTAACAAACAGTGAATATCTCCTGTAGGGTATGTATGCAGTTTGAACATAATACATTGGTTATTATTCAGTCATTGAGTTGCAAATAAAATTTGACATATTATGTGTTATAAAATAACCTAAAATTGCTCCGCAATTGGGATACCCTTACCAACATTTCTAGGCCAAACTAGAATTATATTTTCCTCTGGTATTAGATATACAATTGGGGGAGAATTGTTCACTTTTATTATTATTGCTTTTATTATTCACTTTCTATGATGTTTAAATCACATTTTATTTAGCAATAGGGGAAAGTTACTTATATCTTTAGAGGTTATTCGTTCCATCAAGTTGGGGAAAAGGGTAGGATGAAGTTTAATGAAATCTTTGTGCTTTGTGCACTCCAGAGGTTTTATGCAAGTTTACATTCACCAAACACATGTGGGGTTATTTCTTTTGTCAGTTGTATTCCAGTATTTTAAGCTGGTGATTTACTATTGAATGTACTTAGGGTCATTTTCCTTTATGTTTACATTTTCTTATTTGTATTTATTCCAATTAGAGAGTTTAATTACCATTAAAATGGTAATGGGATAAAGGTAACTTTTACCAATGACAGTATTAAAAAAAAAAGCCATAACTCTTCAGGAAGGTTTAAATGCCATAAGAATATAAAGCGAGAAATATATGCTTGTCAAATATACAGTATAAATAAATAATTTAGATGAAAATGGTTGACTGCATTTAACAAAGAGACTACCAAATAATGAGAGGCTAAAGACTGGTTGTTAGATTTGATGTACTTCATTGTATATTGTAAGTAATTGCTAGCCTTAAAAATTCTATGGCTTCTGTGTAAGAAAAAGAGACATTTTGACAGGCAACACTGGTATGAAGCGACAGCAGGTACAAATCCTTGGCAACTGTCATTATCCTGCTGTTGGATTCACATCCAAACTGTGTGATAACTTAGACCTGCATGTTTGTTATTGAGCCATGATCTGTCAAAGTAGCCACACTTTCTACTTACAAATAGAGTTATTAGCCACATGCAGATTTCTGCCATAGAAGTCTAAACTCACCAACAATGCTTGGTTTTTCTAAAAGTTAATAAAAATCTCCATGTCATTTTATGCTTATGCTGAAATTTCTGGTGAAGTGTTCCCGATTAAGTAAAAGTAGAATTTTTAGAAAATACCATATTAGTTTATGTTTTAGCCTATTATAAAATTAATTCAAAGTTAGTAAAGATTTTGAATAAAAGTGAAAGTAAAGCAAACATGATCAGAAAGCTGAGGGTGTAAGTTAGACTACTATTCGCAGAAAGTAACAGAAAACTCAATTGTAAGGGACTTTAAAAATGAGGAACAGTCATTATTTCATAACAAGAACTTTAGA